ATTTAGGTGTTCTCATCTTAGGAGGGAACTAGATACCTAAAACAGTTTACAATTAACACAAAGGTAGTAAGCCAACTTGAATTCTGTTCGGTAAGGCTATTCACTGTCAGACTAACTTTCTCTTAATGAAGATGATCTAGTGTTCTTTTTCTCTTTTGGTTGATAGGAGTTGATGATGACTCCTTTATGATTTTTCTGTTATTCTTAAGCCCTCTGTCACCCCAAACCCTCATATTCCCAGTTCATTGGTCCATCCTTTTTAAGAAAGTCAGTTTAACCAGTTATTTGGTGGGTGGTTGATTTTATTATCATTTATTGCATTATTGCATTTCTGTTGAGTACTGAAAGATGGCATGTTGTTGGATCTAATGGAATATTACTGACTTCTTACCACACTTGCCATAATTTTCATACTTCACTGCTGTTGCCTTTTAAGTTTTCACACCGAGACCTTGTATTCCTCTTTGAGATGTACTGCTAGTTGCTCCAGACAGTTTTGTACTTGTTATTTGGCATATCCGTCCGAACATGAGCACTTTTGTGTCCTGTCACTCAAAGGTAAGTTTTTATTCTTTTAGAGTAGATTTGATGTCATTGTGGAGCAAGTGCTGTAAAAAAGGTCAACATGGGTACCCATCATTCAACAGCGAGATGATACAATGTGAGTTATGCATTAGTTTTTTTTATTTGGAAAATAAATTTCTCTTGCCTCTAAAAATGGTTTAGATATGTCTTGTCCAAGTCATATACAGCCAGCCCCCTCGGTATCTGTGTATTCCTTACACACTGAGGTTGGCTGAGCTCATGCATGCGTAGGACTGACTGTACAGCTCGGTTTATAGAAGGGTCTTGAGCATCTGTGGATTTCGATATCGGTGGGGATCCTGGAAGCAGTCACCTGCGGATACGGAGGGACGAGTCTATGTGGTAGTTCTAGGCAGGGGTGATTAGAATGTGGAGCTGTTTCTAACAGGACACCAGCTTTCTGCATCTTTCGGTGCTAGCCTGCCTTCACAGCTGCAAACAGGCCTGGTGCCTCCAGGTTGCATGTTCAGCTTACTTGCCTCCTCAGTGAGCTATGTTCAGGGCAGTGGCAATCTCACAGGACAAGGACAGAGCCTTACGTCTCCCTGGGTATCTGCCTGTAGCGGGGAAACTCTTTTTCAGAAATGTCAATACTAGAATGTTAGCTTAAGACAGGGGTAGGCAACCTTTTCTGTAAAAGGTCAGAGAGTAAATACTCAAGGCTCTGTAGGTCAGTGGTCTTTGTCTCAGGTAGTCATTTCTGCCATTTTAGCAAGAAAGCAGCCAAAAATAATGCATTAAAAGAAAGGAACATGGCTGTGTTCCAATAAAACTTTATTCATGGACACTGAAATTTAAATTGTATATAAATTTCATGGGGCAAGAAATATTATTCTTGTTGCTTTTTTCCCAACCATTAAAAAAATGGTATAAAGTGTTCTTAGCTCATGGGCTAACCAGAAATAGGAGAGAGGCCCTGTTTGGCCTGGGGGCCATAGCTTGGTGACTTTTAATTTAGGGTTTTTTAATCTTGTGAATGTGTCTTTTACTTCTCTAAGTGTTTAAATGTGGAGCTATTAAAATGTTTTATGGCTTCCTGTTGACAAGCCTTGTACAGCTAATCTTAAGCCATAATTAGGTTTGAACTAGTCATTTACATAAGTCAGACTTTGCCTCTGAAAATGCATTTAACCAGAGGTTATCTTTGGAAGGTCTTGGAATGAATGGATTATCTGTATAGGAAGATTTAATGTCCATTTAGTGTGCCAAAGTTTTTCTGACTGTACAATCAATTTGGAAAACCTTATCATAGTTCTTGGAGATTCATTGTTTCTATTAGCACGTTTAACATTTGACTGTGGATTAATTTTTTCAGTGATGGCCATAAACATCCTTCAGAATTCACCTTGAGAAAATGTTGGTAAACACACTTGAACAAAGACAGAATGACATATTTAGGGAATTTCTTTTTTCTCTCCCTTTTGTTCAAAAGAAGCCAAGTGCACAGAACTTGTAGATAGGATGTCTTTGCTCCAGTGAGCGATGTTTAGTTTTCCTTTTTATTTTCTTTGCCTTAATGCAAGAAGGTATAAATAGGCACACTTTATAAAAGCATGACAAAATTGTGAGATTGATCACTTTGTCAATGTGTTTAAAATTTTTCTTTGAAGATACTTCTAGAACTTTGAAACCCTTAGGAAGCATCTTAATCATAGTCCTGACAGTCTGTTAATATAAGTTACCAAGTTTGAATGCAAAAGAAGCAAAACATGTGGAGTGTCCAGTTTTTAAAGTCTGAATATTCTTAGAGTTATACGGTGTGAAAGCATGGACTTGTATACGTGTGCAGGCATGTGTGCTGATGGAGTCACTATTATTTATTTTGGAAGCTTGATCTGTTGACATGAAGTATAGTATATTTTTAAGGTAATTAATATATGCCAGGGTAATAGATTTTTTTCAAATATCTGACTGTCTTTTTAGGCATTTTTTTAAGGACATCTCTAATCATACTTTTTCCAGACTCTGATCTTCACAAACTAGTCTTCACAGATCATGATCCTGTTTTCCAGTTTTGTTTGCTTCAGCTAAAAGTATCTTTACAAGTTATTTTACAAGTTTTAATACTATTGAACAGTTGTAGTAATGAGTTGTTGTTTTGTTTTGTTTTGTTTTGTATTTTTAACTTTGGAGATTCCAAGATACATGGTAGGATATTGTATTTTTTTAAGATTATCATTTCTTATATATTTATATTTCATATATTTAATAAAATTTAATTTAGAAGTACAATAAGTAGAATTTCCTTGAATAAAGTATAATATAACCCTTAACCCTTCCCTTATAGAAGTGTCCTTAAGAGACATTTTATCAGTCTTAAAAACAGAAGTGATCTTCATCTAGTCTTCTTAGGAGTCATCAAAGAGACTGAGTGAGTGAAGGTTGGTGAGAGTGGCAGAGAATGGGCAACTAAGTTCTGCTGTTGACTGTAGGCCTTACGGACTGAGGTTGCTGGAAAGGCAGTGACAGGAGCATTGGTATTGAAGCACTTGGGTGTCCTCAGAGACAGCTGGCTGAATGCTTTGGTAACAGTGACAATGCACTTTTCCAGCACAGGCATAGACTGTCCCCAGGTCAGATGGGTGGGCCCCAGCTTACCCCTACTTCCTTATTGTGCAAAATTCCATTGTTAGAATTTTTTCATGTGTGCTTTAAATTTTTTTAAATTTTTATTTATTTTTCATGTTAAGAGTAAAGATATCCTGTTTTTACTGGAACCTCTTGAAATATCAAACTGTGCATGTTCACTGGCACAAAGGTTAAGAGTTCAGGCCAGAGCTCTGAGCCATTTGGACTTTATTTTATACCCCAGACTACTTTGCTAGGTACTTGTGTTGTTCTGCGACACTATATGGCCTTTCCAGTCCCCATAGCCTGAACTGGACCATGAACTGGCGGTGCCTGGTCAAGCACTGGGAGGAATCTTGGCTTTTCTCTTTTGTTCTCTTGTCAGTCTTCCCAGCACACAGATGAATTGTTTTATTTTAATTTAAAAAGCAGTCTAAATAACAAGCACTGCTTTCTATTTTCACAAAGACTCTGGCAAGGCCATTTAAAATATCTACATCAGTGGAGGGATTTGATTGTGGAGCCAGATACATTTGAATACTAAATGGTGTGTTAAGTTTTTACCTTTAATTGAAACTCTCTCTCTTTTTTTTTTTTTTTGGAAAAGATCATTGTAACAGCCATCCTGGGACTGGTTATAGGTGCCATTTTCTATGACCTGAAACATGATCCTACAGGAATCCAGAACAGGTGAGTAAATTTGGGTCCTGATTTTGAGAAAATGCTATTACTTTTTTTCTAAGCTTATGAAAATCCATTAAAAATATGAATTTGAGACAAGCACAGGGTAAATTGAGCAGTAGGATAAGTAAATGAATTGAAAGCCAAATGGAGGAGTTAGTTTTCATATTCATGTGTATATATACAATGGTAAAATACACAGAACATAAAATTTACCCTGTAAACCAACTTTAAGTGTATAATTCAGTGGCATTAATCACATTCACATTATTGTGCAACCATCCCCACCATCCAGCCCTGGAACTTTTTCCATCTTCCCAAACTGAATCTCTGTACCCATTGGACACCAACTCCCCATTCCTCCTTTCCCCAGCCCCTGGAAACCACCATTATACTTTGTCTCTGATTTCAACTATTCTAGATACCTCATATAAGTGGACTCATAGAGTATTTGTCCTTTGGTGACATGCTTGTTTTCCTTAGCGTAGTATCTTCAAGGTTCGTCCATGTTGGAGCATGTGTCAGAAATTTTTCTTTTTCAAGACTGAATACTATTTCATTGTATGGATAGGCCACATGTTGTCCATAAGTTTATCTGTCTATGGACACTTGTTTCTACCTTTTGGCTGTTGTGAATAATGCTGCTAGGAACATGAGTACACAAATAATACCTGTTTGAATCCTTGCTTTCAGTTCTTTTGAGTATATACCCAGAAGTGGGATTTTTGGATCATTTAGTAATTCTGTTGATTCTTTGAGGAACTGCCATCCTATCTTTTACAGCAGCTGCACCATTTTGCATTTCTGCCACAAGTGCACAGGGTTTCAGTTTCTCCTGAGCCTTGCCACACTTATTATTTTCTGGTTTTTCCTGTTTTTGTTTCATATATATACATATATATATGTATGTATGTAATAGCCACCCTAATTGGAGTGAAGTGGTATCTCATTGTGGTTTTGATTTGTATTTCCCTAATGATTATCATTGAGCATCTTTTCATGTACATATTGTTCATTTGTATATCTTTGGAAGAATATCTATTGGAATTCTTTACTCATTTCCTAATTGGATTAAAAGAATTGTTGAGCTGTAAAACTTCTTTATATATTCTAGGTATTAACCCCTTATCAGATATAAATTTGCAAATATTTTCTGCCATTCTGTGGATTGTTTTTTCACTCTGCTGGTAACGTCCTTTGATGCACAAAAGTTTTGAAGTTTGACATAGCCCAGTTTATCTATTTTTAATTTGACATAGCTCATTTTATCCTATATTTTTCTTTTGTTGCCTGTGAGTCAATTTCCTTTTTAATTTTTGATTTGTTTGACATGGGGAGGTGGTTGGGAGTCAGTTTTTTCTAACTGTTGTATGGTTAGTACTGAAGTTAATTTTCCTTACCTGGTTTCAGTCATACCATGCCCATAAAACTTGTTTCCTGATGAGACTTTGTAATGGCTGTAGCATGCTCTGAACGGAGGTGCTGAGCAGTGTGGGAGCTGCTGACTTCTCCTTGGCTTTGTGTGTTGAGAGCCACCCTGGGCCGGGCAGTGTCCCCTGCGCTGTACACTTGGGGTCTCAGGTTACCCTCCCCGCCAGAGTAGGGGTGGTGTTAGCCCCCCGTCTCACTGCTCGGCAGAGTTGCAGCACCTTAAGTTGAATCTATTTTGTCTGGAAAGGGGGGTTGTTTGTGAAAGAAAGAGGAAACATAAAAGTCAGTTCTCATTCAGGTGGAGTAAGGTATCTCCTGTGTGGGATCAGACAGTGAGACAGTTACTGGGGCTTTTTCCCCCGGAGTTATGTCATTGCTTTTTCTTTTCACCTTCCCCGAGGGCAGAGTTGCTCTCTGGCTTAATTCCAAACTTGCTAGGAATTGCCCATTTGTACCCTTTGTAGATGCCATGTTTTCTTGAATCACAGAGTATGTACCACAGGATCTAGAGCTGTGGGTCTTCTGTGCTGAGGGAAGCATTTGGTAAAAGCTATTGGGAAACCTGCCCTCAACTGGACTTTTAGAGAGGAACTGGAGATCTGTTCATCCAAGCTCTTGGTAGAAGACTCCAGAGAAATAAAGAAGAGCGTGAGCAGTTTCTTCACATGTTTTCTGGAGAAATAGAGCATTGGGTTATTTTCATTTTTATTTTTGACGTAAGCTTGCCACCACTTTTTTTTTTAAATCATTTGAAATTGCTCTGGAGGCCAGTGTGGTTTGGCTCTCTTTTTGAGGAATGAATTATTCCAGAGAGATGCTTTCTTTGCTCTTTCCCTAACCTGTATAATCATGGGTAGAATGACAGTTTCTTTGACCTAACGACACCTTATAAAACTGTGGAGGTGAGAGTTAAACAGATTAACGTCTATTAAAAGAAAAGGTATTTAAAGAATTTTTATGATCCATAAGTAGACACTACCGACATGAATTACCACCTTGGAAAGTACTAGAATACATCAAATTCTTTAACAATAAAAACTCTTTACTATAACATAAATTATCTTATGATTTAGAGGGAATTTCACTATCTCCAGGTTTAGAATCATTAGGAACATCATTGTACTGTTAGATGTAAGACTCAACACGTTGAGCCGAATTGCCCCACATTTCTGAAATTAGCTTTCACACGGATTATTAGGCTTATTTGTGTGCAGAAAGTAGCATGGGTGCTTGTGTGTAGGCCTGGGTGTTTTCCTTTTATTCATTATTGTATAAACATTCACTTTTAAAACAGCCTGTTCCCTAACTCCTTTACTTGGGGGAGTGTTAAAAACAATTACCGAGTATCTATGGACTCTTCTTTTGGACATTTACACACTTTGGGTTTACATTTTTAAAATTCTCTTACTTGTGTGTCATTTAAGTGACATGCCACTTTATCTCTGTCAGTTCCAACTCACATCCTCAATGTCAACTGAACTGTTTGTTTAGGAAGGAAAGCCCGACACTGTTTCAGGAGTGTTGGCGTGCATTCATAGAAATCATTTTTCTCTCAAAGTGTAGATTAACTGAGTACTTTTCCTTTTCGAACTTCAGTTATTTTACTGAGAGAGAAGCATTAATAATCTTCCTTTTCTTACAGGTGCACAGATTAATTTTTCCTTTATGAGCATCCCTTTGTTTTCTTTTTTGAGCCCACTGGGAAGAAACCATGTTGGCAATGAGTTTTCAAGGAGAACACCAAGGCTATGCTGATGGTTGTGAGGCGGATCTGTACAGTCAGGTGTCAGTTGAGGTTTCCCTCCACTGTCTTTCTCTTGCCTCCTTCTGTCTTTGTATCTTCTTTACTCAACTTTTAAAAAAGTGGCTAACAGAGGTTTTTAACCTTGGCAAGCTTTATTTGGCTCACTGTTTCTCTGTTCATACATTAGGCACAGTACTTAGAGGTTTGTTAGTTAAAATCCAAGGTGATAGTATTTTTATGGTCTGTTTAATCATCAGCTTGGTCCACAAACTGTGCCAGAGAATCACAGACTGGGTGGCTTAAAGCACAGAAATATACTTCTGCAGTTCTGGAGGTCAGGTTGCCAACAAGGTTGGGTTCTGAAGAGGGCCCTCTTCTAATTTGCTCCTCCTTGCTGAGTCCTTGGACGGCAGAGCGAGAGCTCTGGTGACTCTCCCTTCTATTCTAAGGGCACTAATTCATTGTGGGGCCCCACCCTCGTGACCTCGTCTAAACCTAACAACCTCCCAAAGACACCATCTCGAAGTATCACTGCATTGAAGGTTAGGGCTTCAGCACAGGAGTTTTGAGAGAATCCAGTTCAATCCATAGCAACCCAGGACTGTGAATTTCAAGCTGTGATATATGGAGCCCCAAGGGTACTACTCTGGAGACGCAGGGGTTGGGAGAGACCTGATGGGGTTCATATTTCCCTGCATTTTAACCAGAACATGTGTTTTTTTGTGTGTGTCATATGTTAAGATATCATTTGAGGGAAGAGTTTTGCAGGTAGAGAGATGATTTAAGACTGTTCAATTGATGGCAATGCCCTTGTTCCCCTTCTCTCATCACAGAGCCGGGGTGCTCTTCTTCTTGACAACCAACCAATGTTTCAGCAGTGTGTCAGCCGTGGAGCTCCTGGTGGTTGAGAAGAAGCTCTTCATGTGAGTGGGTCTCTGTTTCAGGAAGGGCACTGTTGGTCAAGCTGGTCACATCCTGAATTAGGCTGTGCCTGGGTTCCTGGGGATTATCCATGTTGATTGAAAAAGAGCAACCAGAGCCAGGGAGGAAAATCTTGAGCATGTGGGGCCTGATACCAAGGGAAAAAGGAATTTCAAGATTAGAGAAGAGCCTGCAAATCCAAGTGCTGCAGAGAAAGCAAGCAGTAAAGAGGCTGCAAGGGATCTTTTGTTTTTAGCAAATAAGAAGCCATGATGACCTTCACAAGGGGCTTGGTAGAGAGAAGGGAGTGGACTGAACAGTAAATTCAAAGGAGGAGGTAAAGTTGAGCAAGAAGGATAGCCCACGATGGAAGGGCGAATGGAAGAAGCCAGAAGGCAGCCTTAAAATAAAGATGGTCTGTTTTGTTTGTGTTTTTCAAAGTTGAAAGAGACTTGCATATTTACATGTTGAGGAAAGGAATCCTTAGGGAAAGAATGAAGATATTGATGGAATAATTTGAAATTACAGGAGGAAGACCTCAGGAAGAGGAGGGATCTAGAACTTCAGAGGGGAGAGAGTAGGATTTGGTAGCTGATGGGTGTGTGGTTGGCAGTCATGATCACAGAAAGAAGTGCCATTTTCCTTTTTTTTATTATGAGAGTGGGAGAAGTAAAACAAGGTCAGTGGTCCAGAGCTGCACTTGAGGCTCAGGGAAGAGCAACGCCACCTTCTTCATGATTAGAAGTAGGGAGAGAAAAGCCCCTCTGCCCACCAAGCTCAGCTAGAGAAGCGTTGGCCTTCAAGGAGATCTGGTGCTGGGACAGGGAGGAGACGCAGAGCCTGCCCACCTGGAGCGGGTGTTCAGGATGCAGACTGGGCGCATTGGGAGGGAGTTCGATAGTGAGACGAGGAGTCACTGCCCAGAGCTCTGCGGGGCTCAGAGGAGGCGCACACTTAAGATGCTGACAGGAAGGGGATGGGAAGGGATAAATTTGGGAGTTTGAGATTTACAAGTGTTAGCCACTATGTATAAAAATAGATTTTTAAAAAACTTTCTGCTGTAGAGCACAGGGAACTATGTTCAATATCTTGTAACGACTTTTAACGAAAAAGAATATGAAAACAAATATATGTTTGTATATGCATGACTGGGACATTGCGCTGTACACCAGAAATTGACACACTGTAACTGACTGTACTTCAATTAAAAAAGGAAAAGATGCCGACAGGGATGAAGGGTGGTCGGTGGGCCTCGCGGATGTGGAAGCTGTAGTTGTTGGACCTCTGGGGGCAGCAGAAGTCTGTATAGCAGGTGGTTTAATCTTCTGGTCTGTGCCTTCTTAAACTAATGGAGGGTGTGTGATATGAATTTTTGCTTTTAGACATGAATATATCAGTGGATACTACAGAGTGTCATCTTATTTCTTTGGAAAACTGTTGTCTGATTTTCTACCCATGAGGATGTTGCCAAGCATCATATTTACTTGTATAACGTACTTCATGTTAGGTAAGCCACGGGACAGAAGATATGTGTCTTTAGTCTTGGAGATGAGGGGACTTTTTGCAAGCGGGCTTTGGTTCTCAAAACAGTAAAGCAAACCATGAGAAAGGAAGCATCCAGTCATTATGTATGCTCTCAAATAACTGTTCTCGGAGGGGATTTTTGTCAAGACTTTTCCCAAAGTAGCTTTTAAAACTGTTTATAAAACTATATTTTATAGGGATACTGTGTGTCATATGCAACATGGAAATTATTCATAAAACTATTTGACCCTGTGTTGGAGGAGCTAGAGCTGGGGTATTTATTACTTATCTATTTCTTTTTTATTTGTGTATGTGTACAAAGACAGTGAAAGATAGTGACTTCTGGAGCTTACTGGTTTAGTAAAAGTATTTGTTTGATAGATGTAGACAGATTGATTTATGCATTATGTTGAGGCTATACCCTAGGCTCATTACATCAGAATTTCCATATATGTCACACACACACACACACACACCCCCCAAGATACAGTTTTTTTGACAAAGCATTACTGATTGAGTTTAAACTTCCATTTTACAAATAAGAGATGTGTCGTAAAGAATTAGGCATAGAACCTAGGTCCTCAAATTCCTATCTACTCTATAGTATTCTTATGGCTCTTGCAAAATCTGCAAATTTTTGTATGACCCATAATGTTAGCCCATTTTAGTTTATAAAGCAGCTTTATGAAGCTTAATTTAACCCCATCCTCAATCTCAGAGTTGTAGGATTATTTGTCTTGGGAGACCTGGATTATGGACACACTCCCCCAGACGTTAAAACCACTGGAGGTCAGGTAGTCCTGACCTTCCCAGTATCTTCACTAACGCAGTTACAGCGAACAGTGAGTAATGGGTGATGTCTGGGGAAAATGAGTGTGCTCTTGGCAAGTTTCCTCTTGAGAAGAGGAGGCAGAAGAATTGTGTCCAGTTGTGTTGCCTGCAGCTCTCCATCTCAGGCACTCAGAAGTTGTTAATTACAAACAAAGAAGCCAGAGCCTTCCATGCTTATGCAGTGAGTGTGAAAAAGAAAACCGTATAACTTGGTACAGTTATATCGGGGAAAACAGTGAAATTGGTGACCCAGGTTGGTTGGATAGAGGATGAAATTTTTTTGATACTGATTTCTCAAAATATTATGGTGTTATTTACATAATAAACAATCCCTGATAGACAGTGACCTAGGCTGTTGGATTAACCCCCTCTTTTCTTCCTGACTAAGGACTGAAACCAGTGGTGGAGGCCTTCTTCATCATGATGTTTACCCTGATGATGGTGGCGTATGCGGCCAGTTCTATGGCACTGGCCATAGCAGCAGGTCAGAGCGTGGTCTCCGTAGCAACACTTCTCATGACCATCTGTTTTGTGTTTATGATGGTGAGTAGGAACTGTGCTTCCCTGAGATGTAATTATTTTTCCTCATTCCTTTCTGCAGATTCACCTGTCATGTAAAATCTGCTTTGAGGTTTCCTGCTGTCAGGAAGCCCTATACTGAAGTATAGCTTATATTATTAGGCAACGTACCAGCTCTTTCTTGATCTTACCCAGCCTTTTTGGCTACTGCTCTAACATGGTTATTATAATCTTAGTCAATGTGTCATTACAATGAGCTTTTAAAAGATACCTCTCAGTGACATATCGTGAAAGCTTGATAAATTGGAACTTTGAAAACCAGAAAAATTTTGCTTTTTCAAATTGTAAACAGGTTTTAAAATGACAGGTTCATTGTCTGAGTTTTGTGCTGATGTGAGAGGACTGCTGGCTTGTTTC